CAGCAGCGTGCCCGCTCCACCCAGCCGCGGCAGCCCGACGTCCGGAGCCCTGCAGCCCCGGCCCGAGGTGAGCGAGGGCGGCAACGCGCGGGGCGGGAAGCCCTCGCAGCCCGGGAGCTCGCGCGGGCCGGAGGGAAGGGGTTAAACTGGGAGTCGTGCAAGAGACGGAGCGGTGGCGGCGCCCGCAGCAGCCCCCAAGCTCTCAGCAGAAGTTTTTAGCTCGCTCCCAGGGTGCCCCCCAGTCCCGGGATACCCCGCCTTGGGTGAGGAGGGGGCTGCCGGGGCGCGGGAGACGGGGGATGGGGCTGCGGAATGCCCGGGCCGGCGCCGGACGGGAGGGGGCGGCGGGCGGGGGCGGAATGTGGAACTCTCCCGGGGGACCCAACGTGGTCACCATGGCGAATGCGGGATGGATGGGCAGCACTGGCCAATCAGAATACAGCGCCTCCGCCTAGATAGACGGCGGTAGCCAATAGGGGCTGCATGATGGGGTGGGCGGGCTCGCCCAGTGTAGGCCGGGAGCCCCAACAGCCCGCCGCTAGGGGGAGCGGGGCGGCTGGGGAGGGGGCGATTAAGTGGGTGCCAAGGCGACTCAGAGCCCGCAGCAGCAGTAAACTAACTTCTGGAAGTTAGGCAGCATAGGGATGGCTCTGTACGAGGAGAAAGCAGTAGGTCTCAGTTGCCCCACCTTTCTGATGGTTTCAGGGGTTGGCATCAGCAAGTTCTTCCCCACCCAGGTCTTCGGTTCCTCTACCTTAAGTGGAAGCACTACCCTCATCCCACCCCGCTCTTCAGAGCCCTTGTCAGGTGGGACTGGTTCAGGTTGGCACAAAGTCTGCTCAACTGTTGGACGGAGGAATCTTCTTAATGCTTCTCTTCATCCTATAGGTAGGGAAACAGGCCCAGAGAAGCTAGGGGCCTGCACATATCGCCCAGCGTACGAGTGGCAGAGCTAGGACTAGTAGAGTGGCTGCTGTTCAAGGGCAGCTAGTTCAGGGAGCTGCTCAGAGATGTGGCTGGGGCTCTACCCGCTGAAGGCAGCCCCTTCTCCCATCCCAGCCTTGCTTCTCTGCTGGGCTTAGTGCCTGAGGATCCCATCTTGTAGGTGTTCCCAGGGGCATGGTGCCCTTTCAGTAGTCATAACCAGGAGAAGAGGCTTCCAGTCCCAGTACTTCTGCCCTGGCTTTGCTGCGAGTGGGCTGCGTGGATGTGAACAAGGCCAGATGAGCTGCAGTTGACCCGTCTGTAAACACAGGACTTAGAGTCACTGAGCCAGGGTATCTTCCTGGCGCCTCAGTCTGAGATGGTGGTGGTACCTGGGAACAGGCCAGGGGGCAGCTGGACTCAGGGCCAGCCTGAACACCTAATCTTACTCCTCCCTGCCTGCGAGTTTGCTCCTGGAGGTCCAGCGGCTGGATCCTGGGCAGCAGGTCAGAAGGACAGGTGCCCACAGTCTGTGGGCTGACCAGCCTTGGGCCCTACACTTATCCAATCAGGCTGTCCTCTGTGGTTTCCTGCTGGGCTCTACTCCCTGGCCGCAGCCAGGCCTGTGGCCATGGGTTCGCCCCAGATCCCCACCTGAAAGATTCTGGGAAGTTATTGAGGTTTCTGAGCTTGAAGGGTGGCTAGGGACGGGGAGACAGGGCTTTTGGGCCCTCAGCCCCTCAGTTGGTTCCCAGCCAGGCCTCCACAGTGCTCATTCTTCTTAATGGGTATGGAGAGATGGATCCAAATATTCTGGGGCCAAAACCCAAAGTTACCCGTTTGAGTCCATTAGGCTCCCTCAGGCAATAGTATTGAGTTACCTCTGACTCTGACCTTGGCCAGTCAATGTCAGAGCCTACCTGTCTCAGAGCCTGGCTGAAAACTGACTTTTCTGGTCCGCAGGATGGCTCAACCCTCTCGCTGTCTGTGGTCACAGGGGACTCCCTAACACTGACACTTATCCATCGTCTGTCCATCAGCCCAGTGAGCATTCACACAGTACGTGTAGTATGCTGGGCCCTGTACCGACAGCTAGGGGGACTAAGATGCCCACCTGGACTTCACCACGTGACCATTGCTGAACAACCATCCGGAGCAGTAGCATACTCAGAAGTGAGGGCAGGCTTCCCAGGGGAGGCGATGCTGGGGGTGAGCCTTCAAGGCTGTGTAGCAGTTTGCTGAGGGAGAAGGAAGGAGGGGGAGACATTCTAGACAGGTCTGTGAGCAAGAGGAGCCACTGGCCACTTTCTGTGAGCAGGGTTGGTGAGGCCCCATCTTGCAGTGACTGGGAGCAGGCAGTGAGCGTAGCGGAGGGGCTGAGGTTCAGGAACCGTGAGTCCCACTCAGGCTGATGCCCAGCTGAAAAGGTTCGAGATCATGGTTCAGCTTTTCAGCTCCCCACAGCACCAGTGAACTTTAACCAACTTTATGCAGGGTCTTTCCTAGAAGCTCTGAGTGGCACAAGGGACCTTTCTGGGTCGGGGGAGCCCTTGGCAAAGGAAGGACAGATGGGGGTCCAGAGTCTGCCAGGGGCCTTGGGAATGGAGGGAGTGGCCTGAACAGATACCCAAAGGGTAGAGCAGGAATAGAGCTGGGGGAGGAAGGGGGGGCCTGGAAGGGGAAACACCCTGGCCCCCTCTACTCCCCCTCAGATTCCGTGGAAAGAACACACTGAGCCTGGTGGGGAACCTAGGGTACAGTGTGAGCGGCCTCCGTTACCAGGGCTGTGTGTGTGTCCCCGTGGCTGTGTTATGTGAGCAGGGTGGGGGTGGGGAGGTGTTGCTAGGCAGGGTCTGGCTGGCCTTGGTCTATAAGGGTATGTGGGGTTCCTAGTGCACGGCTTTTGCAGCAACCAACCTGAGGACCCCCAGCTCACTCCTTCCCACTCACATCTGCACACAGCCCTGGGGCCTGCAGGAGAAGGGCAGGAGGGCTGTTCCTGAGCCTCCCCATTCATGCTGTTCCCTTCACCTCCCCACCCCCCAGCCCCTAGAGGGGCTCAGCCAGGCAGCCGGGAAGGAGATCAGGCACTGACTCGAGCCTCAGACCCTGCCTGATGCATGGGTGCCTGGAAGCCATTAGGGGCCCGGGTGGCGCCTGCCGTGTCCCTGCGCCACAGGCTTAGGATTCCTGGAAGGAGCCAGGCCCCTCTCCCAGCCAAGCCCCACAGCAGGTTTGGTGATCCCAGAGGCAGAGGATGTGGCTGTGGCCCCCTCCCTGCCATTCTCCTACTTTGGGGCTTCAGGAAGAACCCAGCAGAACAGGCCAGTTCCAAGCTGCTGGCTGGCACTTGGGTTTCCTGCCCCCGCCCCCCCCTGCCCCGCAAGCACACATTGTTTTTCTTTTCCAAGAGCTTCTCCATGTGGAGCTGGGCCAGGAAAATGGGGAGAGAGGGAGTGTGAGTGTGTCTGTGTGTGCATGTGTGAGTGCTCTCCTAGGGATGAGCATCTGCCTCTGCTGGCTTCGTGCCTGGCAGTGTGCTGTTGTGTGCATGTGTGTGCATATGTCTGCGGGTGTGTCTGTGTCCTTCAGGTGAGTATGTCCATATAGTGTGTGCACATGTGTCTTTTTGTGTCTTGCACCTTTATTTATGGGCATGGACTTGCATGTGTGTCTGCAGACGTATCTGTGTGTACAGGTGTCTGTATGCTCCTAAGTATAGAGGCCACTATACTCAGGGACATCCCTCAGTGCACAGGCAGAGAACCTGAGTCACGGAGAGGACATTTGGCCTGCCAGGGATCTCTTGGGGTGCCAGTGGTGCACACAGAGTGGAACCTAGATCTATACAGCTGTGTCTGGTGACTGTTCAGTTCTCACTGGGCTAGAACATGTGTGCACGTGTGTGTGTGTGTGTGCGCACACGCTGACCTGTGGGTGATAAGGCATCTATCACCAAATACTCCGATGTCCCCAGTTCACACTCCTAAAATGTACATTCCCAGCTGCCCACCTACTGAACCTCACTCTTTGGCCCTTCACTAAGAAACTGCATTTTAAGCAGAAATACTGGGCTCCCTCACTCCACCCCGATTCTATAGGTGGGGATACTGAGGCCCACAAAGGTACAGTAGCTCACATGAGGTCGGTGGCAGAGCTGGGCCTGGATAGCATGTCTGGTGAAGGCAGATAGACAGTAAACAGACAAAGGATAGAGAAATGTGGGCGGGTCACTGAGAATCCGTGAATTTAACGTGGCACTGTTCCACTGGGTGACTGAGTAGGGCTGAGGAGGTGAGCAAGGCCAGGAGACAAGAGCAAGAAGGGGGTTAGGGGCCTGTGGGGGCTTTGGGGAAGAAGTTAGGATGCCGGGGTGTGGCCCAGGGGGACAGTGCACAGGTGCTGGGGCAGTGGCTGGGCTCCTTTGGGACTGAAGCAGTTGTTGGAGTCCTAGAGTGCATCTGCTGGGAACTGATGCGAGAGAGGCGTCCCTGCCCAGTTATGACAATGGGTGATGCCCCCAGCATGTGCAGGTGGCTGCTCTGTGAAGAAAGGATTGGAAGGAGGTAAAAGCATATGGGACGGCGTAGACGGGGGCCAGGGAAAGGGTAAGGGGCCCAGGCCGGGTTGCCAGCAGCACTCAAGGGTTGAGCCCCGGGAGGAGCCTGCCCGGGAGGCTGGCAGCCAGGGAGGCTACACCTGTGGCTTAGAAGCGCTGCAGGCTGGCCTCCAGGCACCCAAGCTCCTGAGAGCACGGTGTCCTGGGAGAGTGACGAGGAGTCAGGAGCGATGGTGTGTCCAGGTCCAGAGTGCACACGGTCAAGTGGGGCTGGGAGCCAGCCTGGTACTGGCGGCTGGGAGAGCCGGGGAGGGCAGTGGTGAGTGTGGACCTCTCCAGATGGGCTGGGAGCTGAAGAACAGAGAGAGGAGGGCAGCAGGGAGGAATGCAGCACAGGAGATGGGGGTTCCCTTTCCACTCAGATCCCTTGCTGACAGTAAAGGGGAGCGTGTCCCGTCAGACTGCAGCTGAGGGCTGCCGGGCAGTGGGAGCCAACCAGGGACAAGGCGCCCCTCTATGGTGGGCAGAATCCCACCCACAGTACACTGGTCCCTCAAAAAGGGCTGCAGCGGGGCCAGGGATATAGCTCAGTGGCATAAGTGCTTGCCTGGCAAGCCTGAGGTGATGAGTTCGATTCCTGGTACCAAAAAGAAAGGGGCTGTAGCAGGAGGACTCAAGTCCAAGACCTACCTGGGCACCTTAGTAAGACCCTGTCTCAAAACATAAAATAACATTTTTAAAAGGGCCTGAGGCTGCATCTCAGTGTGAAGGCCCTGGGTTCAATCCCCAGGAGCAGAGTGGGGGATAAAAATGTAGATCTTCAGAGCAGGTGTGAAGGTCCATGGACCAGGCCTGGGCCCGATGGTGAAGGAAGGGTGGGACGTCCCAAGGAGCTGCCGTGGCAGCTAGTGTGAGGCCACAGTGGGTGGGTTGGGGGCAGAGAAGGACAGATGCCTTCGTTATTTTTAAGGACAGTGAGGTCCATGAATGACAAAGCCCAGTGCAAAGCCCAAGGTGTGGGGGAAGCAGAGGTGAGACAGAGACTTTGAGAGAAAAATGAAGTGAACCTCCCAGCACCCCAGGACTCCCATCTAAGACACTGGGTTTTTCCATCGTTGTCCCACAAGTGTGCATTTCTTCAAGTCCTCACCAGTGCTTGGGTTTGGGCTCATACGTAGTGTAAGTGGCAATAAGTTCTCTTACCTCAAATCTGGGAAGAATAAGTGAGACTCACATAGGGCCCTGGGCCTGGTACCCGGCCTGTAGTGGGCCTTCCACAAATGTCAGTGCCCTTATGTGCTGGGACTAGACCAGCGGCCAGGACCCAGCGCCTGCTGTCAGCATCCTCCCTGCCTGGGATGCGGTGGGAGAGCAGCCTCGCTACCACAGAGAGCAGTGATTAGCAGGACCTCTGGAGGCCCTCACTCACCTCAAGGGGGTGGCCCTGGAGCCCACCTCTCCCCTCCCACCTCTGCCTCCTGTACAAGGCTGATCGTGTGGACTGACGGCCACAGCCTAAGAGTAGTTGTGTTCTCCCGCAGGTCCAACAAGGGGTCCCCCACCCGGTGGTCGGGAGAGGTGTGGGGCGTGGCAGCCATCATGCCACAGAGTGTCGCGCCCGCACTGCATTCCTACAGCTGTCCCTGAGTTGGGCCGTGAGTTCGAGCCCAGCGCCCGCCTGCCCGCGCCATGAGCCACGGGCCGAGTCCCCGGCTGGTCGAGTCCCCGCAGCTGTCCAAGGGCAGCCTCCTGACCATCCTGGGCAGCCCGTCGCCCGAGCGCATGGGGCCCGCCGACTCGCTGCCGCCCACGCCGCCCAGCGGCACGCCCTCTCCGGGGCCGCCGCCCGCGCTGCCCTTGCCGCCGCCTCCCGTGCTGCTGGCCGACGGGGACTGGGAGAGCCGTGAGGAGCTGCGGCTGCGGGAGCTGGAGGAGGCGCGCGCGCGGGCTGCGCAGATGGAGAAGACGATGCGCTGGTGGTCCGACTGCACGGCCAACTGGCGCGAGAAGTGGAGCAAAGTGCGCGCCGAGCGCAATCGCGCACGCGAGGAGGTTCGCCAGCTGCGCCAGCGCCTGGACGCGCTCACCAAGGAGCTGGCGGGCGCGCGGCGCGAGCGCCAGGAGGCGCAGGGTGAGTGCGAGGCTCGGGGTCGAGAACTGGCGCGGCTGCGGGGCGCCCGGAGCGCTGCGGATAAGACTCACGACGGCCCAGAGCCGGATGCCGAGCGGGAGCAGGAGCCTGTGCGGGACGTTGGGTCCGAGAGGCCGCAGGACAGCCAGGTGCGTGCAGGGCCGGGCTGTGGATTTGGGGAGGAGGGTGGCCGCCGCGCCAGCCAGGCACAAGGTGAAGTCAGATTCCGGGGCTCCAAGGAAAGCTAGCAATGGGCCATGCCATCTGGAAGGTTGCCACCTCCAGGTTAGACCCAGCCCCCACCACGGCGACGCAGATTGCCTCCCTTCCAGAGACCCCCAGGATGGAGAATCTCAGGTCCTGGTGGTCCCAGTACTCCCACACCTGAGAAGTCAGCAGAATCAATGAATCGTCCACTTTGGGCAGGAGAAAGGGTCCAACTTCTTGTCTGGAAGCCAGGATTAGAAGCCGCAGCTCAGTCTAATTCATTTGTTCAATTTGAATGGGTGGGTGGGGGGCGGTCACTAGGAGCACAGAGGAGGTGCCGACCGAAGCTTTGGCTGAACGGCCAGTGTCCTGGAAAAGGTCACATTTAAGTAGAGACTGGGTGAGTGGGAATTAGTTGTGGAAGGTACCCGAAGGCATTCCAGGGCAGGGAACTGCAAGACCCCGGAGGCAGAGAACCAAACTAGTGGATGCCCCACCACTCAGCTTTGCTGGTGCATTGGCTCCTTAACTCCCACAGACACACCCTGAGGAACGTGCTTCTTGAACACTCGAGGCACAAGGTGAGTCTGAGCCAGGTGCGAGCTGGTGACAGGAGCCTGGGAGTTTGAGCCCAGGCCGACGGCCTCCAGAGCCCATGGTAACCATCAAGATTTAGGGTGACTGCAGAGGGCAGTCCCCTTGAGCCAGCAGGCCTGTCACCAGAAGGCCACCTGGGGCAGGGTCCAAGCTCACCTCCTCCAGCTGGGACTCCTGGCTGCCCCTGGCCTCCAGCCCAGCCCCTTCCCTGCCACTGCTATCTCCTAGGGGCTGAAGCTCCAATTCCCAGGTGGTTGGAGGGGGTGTTCCCTACTCCTTCTGCGGGCCTCCTCTCCTTACGTCATCACAGTAGGAAGAGCCCGGGGTCAGCATCTGAGTTTGCTCTCCAGCCCAGCTATTTCTGTGCTCTGTGGCCCATACAAATCCCTGTGTTCCTTGTGTCCCCATTTTTGAAAAGGGACTTTGAGCCAGGTGGCATCCAGGGTGGCCCTCGCTGGACAATCTGAGATACAGGAGGCAGAGGAGGAGGTCACTGCTCCAGGATTGTTCATTCTCCTCGTGCCTCAGTGTTTGCCCCTGAAAAACAGGATCATAGAGCTAGAATTCCTTTTGAGGGAATCTAGTCCTCAGCCATGGTAGGAATCTGTGCTTCAGTATGTATTTGCATACTCGCAGTGACAGGGAGCTCACCACCTCTCCTGGGGAATTTTTCAGAATATAGGAAATCTTGCTAACTGACTCTGCAGTTTCAGGAGGTAAGGGAGGAGGCCCAGAGATGAAGAGGCAGACGGCAGAAGAGGAGGCAAGGGTCCAGAGGCACAGTGGGATTTGCCAAAAGTCACCAGCAAGCTGATTCCAACCCAGGGCCTGCAAGGATCCATAAGGAAGGTCACTAGGATGACAGCATGACAGACTGGTACAGCCTCCCCCTTGATCCCTGTAGGAGCTGGAGCTGGTGGAGACCCTGCTGAAGAGCAGACCAGAAGAGCTGGAGGGCTGCTGGGAGGTGCGCAGCGTAGGGGCTGGAGCCCCGAGGGGCAGCTCAGGCCGCCAGGAGCGCAACCGGCTCCCCTGGGAGGACACAGCTGCCACCGAGGAAGACGCCTCCAAGTTGACTGCCCTGCGGCTGCGACTGGATGAATCCCAGAAGGTGCTGCTTAAGGAGAGAGAGTGAGTCTCAGAGGGCAGGCAGGGGGCTGGGGCACCCTCAGAACCCCAGAATGAAAATCAGTGTCACCGAACACAAGACCCACCAAGGCCTATATGCTACGCCATGCAAGCTTTTTGGTTTTTGGATTTTTTTTCCCCCCAGTACTGGGTACTGAACCAATGAACTACATCCCCCACCTTTTCTTTGTTAGTTGGAGACAGGGTCTCACTGAGTCTCTAAATGGCTCAGGCTGGGCTCAAACTTGCAGTCCTGCTGCCTTAGCCTCCCAGTGCTGGAATTACAGACCTGTGCTACCACCTGCAAAGCAAGGGTTTTGTTTGGGTTTTTTTGTTTTGTTTTGTTTTGTTTTTTTCTCTACTAATACATCTTGGGCATCTGCTCTTGGCCAGGCACTGTGCTCAGCTCAGGGACAAGCTCATAAATAGATGAGCCCTCTGCCATCTTGGAACTTGTGTCTGGCAGAAGGCAGAAGTGAAAGCAGGGAAGCGGGCAGGGAAGCTGGAGAATTGGGTTGGAAGTGTTGGGATTGGCTTGGCAAGGAAGCAGGTGGGGCATAAATGAGTCTGAGTGTGGACATCAAGAGACAGGTCTGGCTGCAGGTAAAACACAGGCATTGTCAGCCAACAGGTGATATGGGAAGCCGGGAGCCAGTGAGGTCGGAGGATGGAACCCTGCTGTCAGCTGGGTTTAGCGGTTGGCTAGAGGCAGGGGAAGCAGCAGAGGAGACCGGAGAAGGGAGCCAGTTCCAGGGAAGGGGAAACCTAGGGAAATGGTTCCATGGTGCACATGAAACCATTTTCAGCTGGTCAAATGAAAAGAGGACTGAGCACTGACCACTGGACTGAGGACGTGGAGGTCATTCGTGACTTTGGTCAGGGCGGTTCAGAGGGCAAAGCCTGGTGCTAATGAGTAGTTGCAGCTTTGCTGTGCAGGAGCTACATAGTCTAATCTAACTACACACATGGTTTTATTTTTAAAAATCCAACATAGGGACTGGAGCCATGTGCAGCAGTAGAGGGCTTCCTAGGGTGCACAAGGCCCTGGGTTTAATTCCCCAGCAAGTCAAGAAATAAACAACCACGATGCCCTTGTGAAGGTGAAGGTCAGGGTGATGCTTCCTTGGCCAAGGAGTGCCAAAGATGGGCAGCAAACCACTGCCAGAGGCTGGTGAGGCTGGGGGAGATGGGACGTGGAACAGGTTCTTTCTCACGGCCGGAGATGAGCCCATCCCTGCCAGCACCTGATCTAGGACTCATACCCTTCAGAACTGTGAGAGAATGAATTTCTGGTGTTTGAGACAAAATATCAAGCTGATACACTGAAATAAAAGTATTTGCCCGTCCCTCCTTGTCCTCTCCTCTCTTCAGGGACAAACTGGCGCTGAGCAGGAACATTGAGAAGCTGGAGGGGGAGCTCAGCCAGTGGAAGATCAAGTACGAGGAGCTGAGCAAGACCAAGCAGGAGATGCTCAAGCAAGTGAGTCTGGAGATGGGGACTTCCTGGAGGCAGCAGGAGCATACTTGCATTTCAGCAGTGGGGACCCGAGAGAATGGAATTCACCCATTCGGTGGTGGTTCCGTGTGCAGGGGTGAGCTGGAGCCCTGCCTTCAGGAGCTAACTTTGTAGGGGATGGGAGTGGGCAAATGACAGTGACCAGGGAGGAAAGCCCATGACCACAGAGAAGTCAAGCAGACTGAGAGAGTTGGGGTGGTGGGCCCCAGAAGGCCTCTCTAAGGAGGTGACATTTGAGGCAAGACCTAAAGGGATGAGAAGAAGCCGTCTTTGAGAAGGTACAGGAGCAGTGTTCACAGCAAATGCAAAGGTCCTGAGGCAGGACCAACTTCATATGTGCCTGACACAGAGAAGGGCACTGTGGCTGTAATGAGTGAGAGGTCAGACTGCTTCGGGGCTGGATCTCACAGGGCCTTGTGACCAGGATGGAGAAGGAGTCTGAGTGTGACATGCCTTGGGCACCTGCTTTGTGCCAGATGTCGTTGAAGCCTTGTGGCTGTCAAGAGAGCAGGGTCTTCACATCTTAATCTCACAGATAAGGAAACAGGCCCCAGAGAGGGGAGTCTACCCCAGGATCATGGGCTCACAGGCTGGCTGCCACTTCTCTCTCCCTGCCAGCCTACATGGCCACCAGGGGGCGTAGCCACCCAGGGAAAGCCCGGCTGGATTGGCTGGGTGTCCAGGTGAGAGGACCAGGGCCCTGAGAGCCTGAATCCCAGCCCTGGAAGAGACCGGGGTCTGCTCCTCCACCAGAACCTCCCTGAAGCACCCATCATCTTGGGGCATGGGGTCCTGAAACCCAGCTCTTTAATCTTGTCAAACTGAGGTACAATTATTTGAAGAAAAGTGAATGAAACACCAACATGCCTCTCTCTTGGATCTGGCATCTTTCCCTCCACATTCTGTTTTGAAGACTCACCCATATGTCTGTGGAGAGCAACAGCTCGCTGGGCTTTGCTGCTTGTGCAGTAGGGGACTGTGCTACTTGGAAAGCACCTTGAGCAGCTCCAGTGCACCTGCTTGCAGACCAGTCCTTAGATCAGTGGTGTGCATTGAGGGCTCCTAGGTCAAGGCCGTGCAGGACACAAGGATGCAGACAGACACATCGTCCACCTCCCAGCTTGCATTCTGGTGGGCAGTGGGATGAGCACAGGAAAGGCCTGAGGGTAAGATGACTCAGTCCTGCAAAGTACCTGAGGGTGTCCCAAGCAGAGAGAACCACATGTGCAAAGGCCCTGTGGAGAGCAGGAATTTGGTGTGTTTGCAGAATAGAAAGGAGTCCACACAGCCTGGAGCACAGTGAACTAAGGGGAAAGAGATGGAGAGTGAGGATGAGGAAAAGTAGACATGAATCTGATTGTGTGGGGCTTTGTGAGACCACAGGGGATGGGTTTTATTTCAAGACACCTGGGAGCCATCAACGGGGCTTTTGGTCTTAGGGGAGATAAGAGATTGAATTTATATTTTTTAAAAGCTCACTATGAGGGTTGGGGATTTAGCTCAGTGGCACAGTGGCTGCCTGGCAGGTGGAAGGTTGTGAGTTCAATTCCCAGTACCAGAAAAAAACCAAAACCTCACTATGAGTTGCTGTTTCACTGCAGGGACAAGGTGGTGATCTAGATGTTAAGGGGTGGGAGATGAGAGACATCAGAGGCAGCAGGACGGTCAGAGTAGGGTCTGCTTGAGACCCCAGGTGCCCCACCCCCTGCACTAGTGCCCTCCCCGCCTCCCAGGGCTGGTTCCAGGGTGTATCTGGTGGTCCTCATGTAACCAGGCCGGGCGATGTCCTCGCAGCTTAGCATCCTAAAGGAGGCACACCAGGATGAGCTGGGCCGCATGTCTGAAGACCTAGAGGATGAGCTGGGTGCACGGTCCAGCATGGACAGGAAGATGGCTGAGCTGAGGGGCGAGGTGAGGTGGCCGGCTGGACCCAGGGGCTGGGGTGGGGGCCATCAGCTGGTCGTTGGGAGGAGGGCAGGAGCCAGATCTCTGCTCTGAGGGTGCCATCTGCAAGGGGCGGCCCCTTTCCCACACAGGGACCAGAAGCACCCCCACATCCTGCACACCGTGAAAGAAGCCCTGCTTAATTATAGCAGCTGCAGCTGGATCTACTTCCTGGAGCCAAAAATGGCTCCAGGAGGTGGGGGGGCAGCGTGGCCCTCAGCCCCGCTTCCCCGGGAGTCTTACTCCATCCTGCCTTGTTGCAGATGGAGCGGCTGCAGGCTGAGAATGCGGCCGAGTGGGGCCGCCGAGAGCGGCTGGAGACGGAGAAACTGGGCCTGGAGCGGGAGAACAAGAAGCTGCGGGCACAGGTCGGGGACCTGGAGGAGGCCCTGGCCCGGCGGCGGCGGCAGACAACCAGCGCCCTGGACTGCGACCTGCGGGCCAGCCAGGCTGCCCTCTTCGAGAAGAACAAGGTGGGCGGGGAATACAGTGGCCAGGGCCTCCCCACCCAGCCCCAGCAGGGCACCGCCTGTGTGTCAGGCCTGCTGGTAAATAACAGGTTGAGACTCCCTAACCCAAACTCTGACATCTGAAAGGCTCCAGATTCTAGAAGTTTGTGAGCACCAGCATGGAACTTCCACACCTGACACATAATGGGCCCCAGGGGAAATCCGTGCGCACTATTGTATCAAGTTATCTTCAGCCTCTGTGTCCAAGGTGTCCACGACTCATAACTGAGTTTCATGTCTATGCTTGAGTCCCATCCCCCAAATACTTTATTATGTAGATACAGATATTCCAGGGCTGAGGATTTAGCTCAGTGGCATAACGCCTGCCTGGCAAGCGCGAGGTCGTGAGTTCAATTCCCAGTACCGGAAAAAAAAAAAATAATAATTTAAAAAAAAAAAAAAGATGCAGATATTCCAAAATCCAAAACACTTATAGTCGCAGGCCTGTTGGATAAGAGATGTTCAAACTATAGCTGCATTTATTGAGTACCTACTGTGAGGTTAAGCCCAGTGATAATTACAGTAACTGCACATTGAGCAGTGAACAGACAGCTACAGCCTCTCCCTCCTCTCATAATGGAGCTGATGGCTTGCGGCACCCAGAGATGGCTCTCTCCCATGTGCTTATCACCATCACATCGATGGCTTCATGCTTGTCACGGAAGAGGAACGACTGAGGGCTTGGCCTGTATCCATGGTCCTAGAAGGGCTTCCTGGAAGAAGGGACATTTGCCGTTAATTGCAGGTGGCCTCATATGGGAAAGGAGAGGGATGGGGAGTCATGTGAGTGGATGTGCTATGCTGAGAGGACGTGACGCTTCAGAGGAACAGAAGGCCAGCGTGGCTGTGGGGGTGAGCAGGGGGCCGGAGCCAAGCCAGCCGGGCAGGCAGCGATGACAGCGCAGGCCAGTGGGGAGGCCGCTGCTGCCCGGAGGCACCAAGGGCTGGTGGAGCCCTGGACCAGGCAGGGCTTGGTGGAGGTGAAACGAAGGCTGGACTCGAGACATTCAGACAGCGTCATCCCCACTTCACACATGGCAGAACTGACAGATCCCGGAGCTCGGGCTGGGCATTTCCTCTGCTGGCTGCTGCTCTCTTCCCAGCCACTGTGACCTCTGATCTCTTTCCTCCCACACTGCTCCTCAGCTTAGTTTGTTCCCACACTCAGCACTTCAGATGCCATGGATTCGTTACCGAAGACCTCAGACCTTCTCCCCCACACAAACGCGGTCCCGCTCCAGCCCCTCCTCACATCTCACAGCCACGTATCCCAAGTGGCGCCACCTCGCAGCCTTCTCTGTTGTCCCCTGCACCTTCTCATCCCAATAAGTGCCACCTGTTGCTCCCCAAACCTTCATGCTGGTGTTTTGGACACCAGGGGACAATCCCAGGGAAAAGAAAAGAGACACCCGGCGCCCTCAGCACTGCCTGACCTGTGGGACTCCCTGGTGTGATGCCCAGGTGGCACTGAGCCCTCCCAATCTGTCCCCGACAGGAGCTGGCAGACCTGAAGCATGTGCATGGCAAGCTGAAGAAACAGTTCCAGGAGAAGGTGGCTGAGCTGGCCCACGCTAACAGGCGGGTGGAGCAGCACGAGGCTGAGGTGAAGAAGCTGCGGCTGCGGGTGGAGGAGCTCAAGAAGGAGCTGGCCCAGGCCGAGGATGAGGCAAGTGTCCCCGCTGGGCCAAGGGAACAGCTTGCAGGGCCACCCATGCTCCATGTTAGGACCACGGTGCCCGGCAAGGCGGGACTCCCAGGAGGCACCCAGGGTAAAAGGGAGCTGGTAGGTGGCAGGTGGGTGCTAGAATAGGTGTGGGGGTAAGAGGAGGGGAAAGGTGGCCATGGTGAAAGAGTGAGCAGCTGAATGGATGAACGGGAGGCTGTGGAGACGGTTGAATGGAGGACAGAAGGGGGACTCCATGGATGAGTGAACAGATGGATGCAGGACTAGGTGGGCAGATGGAGGGGAGAGAAGGGAGGGAAGGAAGATGGATGAATGAGGTGTAACGGCAGATGTCTGCTGACTGGAGGGAGAGATGGGTGGATGATGGGTGCACGGACAGATGGAGGGCTGGATGTGTAGACTGTGGACAGATGGACACAGCAGACTGCAGGAGTGTGTGGAAGAATGAATACGGAGAAGGGAGGACAGGGTCGGGAGCATGGAAGGGCATGTGGACAGGCAGACGAGTGGGTGCTGATTGGGTGATGCGTGGTGAGGGCGGGTGAGTGCCTCCACGGGCAGACAGCCTGGTGGGAATAGGTGGTAGGTGAGTGGGCAGGTGGATCAGTGATTTAGGGCGTTGGGGGCTGGGTAGATTTGGAGAGGACACCACAGGGACAGAGAGGAAGAGCAGAAAGGATGCTGCTTGGACGGGGTAGCTTGGACTAGATTGCAGGAGCAGAAGCCCTTGAGGGGCACAGTCTCAGAGTGGAGCAGGAGTAGCTGGGCCCCAGCTGCCCGTGCCCTGGTGACCCAAGTGCTCCTGGTCCTAGCTGGATGAGGCCCACAACCAGGCGCGGAAGCTGCAGAGGTCGCTGGACGAGCAGACGGAACAGAGTGAGAACCTGCAGGTGCAGCTGGAACACTTGCAGTCCAGGTGGGCCATGGGGACATCTGCAGGGGAGTGGGGGCATCCATAGCCCAGGTGCTGTCCGAGGGCCTTCTGTTGGAGATGGAGCCCCTAAGAGGGCCAGAGGGGAAGACAGAGAAGGAAGAGATCCTGGGGCCAGAATCCTGTTCCCTCTAGGCAGGAAGGGCCAGGGCCAGAGCCAGGAAACCAGGAAGGTGGGTGTAGGAAGCCAGACCAGCTGGGGAACCTGGAATTGTCTCCTCTAGCAGGCTGGGGGGCGGCCAAGGAGGTCAGGCCTAAGATGTGAAGCAGCACTCTGGGAGTTGTTGGCAGGAAGAACTAGCCCCAGTCTGGTCAACTTAATGATTTAACAAGATCTTGTCTCAAAATAAAAAGCCTAGGGATGTGGCTCAGTGTGAAGGCCCTGGGTTCAATCTCTAGCACTGCAAAAAATAAAAAAGAACAAGCAGTTACCAGGACGGTAGGCCTTTGGTGACCCAGGACACAGGAATCTGGAAGACAGAGAATGGCAGAGGCCCCATCAGGCAGAACCTGAGGGTCTCTGGTTGACTCACCCCATACACTCCCGCCCTGTGCGGATCATGCCTTTCCTCTGCACTTCTCCTCGAGCCAGGAGATGTCGGAGAATTTCAGGTCTGAGCCCCCAGTGCACAGCTGAGAAGCCCTGGGTATCAGGCCCCAGCACTGACTGACTTCCTAGCACCCAGGTCTGACCAACCCCTCACCTGCCTTCCTTACTTCTGCAGCCAGACTGCCTGGGTGGTCTTGGGACAGTAAAGATCTCTGGGTCAATTCCCTATCTGTAAGATGGGGATGATAATAAATCCTCACTTCTTGGTCATTGTGAGAATTAAATGAGCTGATTCGTGTTTATAAAAGTAGCTGAAAGGCTGGGCCTGGTGGTGTACAACCTGTATTCCCAGCACTCTTTGAGGCAGGAAGATTGTCAAGTTTAAGCCCAGCCCGGGCAACTTAGTAACTTAGTGAAACCCTGTCTCAAAATAAAACAGAAAAATAGCTGGGGGTGCTGAGCTGTTGTTCAATGGTACAGCATTTGTCTAGCATGAACAGAAACTTGGGTTCCATATTTAACAATAGAGAAGAAGGAAACAAGGAAGGGACGGAGGGAAGGAGAAAGGGAAGGAGAAAGGGAGGGAGGAAGGGAGGGAGGGAAGGAAGGAGAAAAAAAGAAAGAAAAAGAAAAAAAGAAAGAAAGGAGGGAGAGGGAAGGAGGGAGGAAAGGAGGATGCCCCTAAGGATATAGTTCAATGCAAGAGCCCTAAGTTCAATTCCCGGTACCACATAAAATGAAAACAAAAAACCTGCCATAAATGCTGAGTAATCGTCAGCTGGTATAGCTGCTGTCACTGTTGCTGCTGCTGCCACTGTTGCCGCCTCTGGGGAGGGGCTTAGGTTGGGTTGGATAACTGCTTCAAGCAGCACACTCCTGTGAGCAAAGGAAAGGGTGAGATCTTTTCCCTAGCACACAGGCAGATAAGGAATCCAGGGCCCAAGAGGAAAGGTCCTCCACAGCCACACAGCTGGATCCCCTGGCCTTTGGCACCTGTATTTGCTGAGCGTTTACTAAGTCCTGCTGTGTGCTGCCGTGTCATGGGTAGGAGTACAGGCTCAGGAGCTGGACCTGTGGTGTAGTCGGCTGCGCCTCAGGTTCCTCACCTGCCTAAGCTGATGGTCGTAAAGTGTACAAGGGCCCAGTCATGGATCTCCGTTCAGCAGCAGCACATGCCCCACCGGAGGCCACTATGTCTAGGACTATCCAAAAGTCCAGGCCACGTTCTTCAGGAGCCATAAACTCCCCACATCCCCAGCACCTCCAGTGGGAAGGGCGGGGTCGCCCAGACCTCCACCTCCGTGTAGTTTTCAACTTTTTGTGCTTTACTGATCGTTCGGGACAGCTCACTAAATCACCACAGTAATGGAGGCGTGCGCCTCTCCCTGCCATGTTAATAATTCATGCCTTCCAGTAAGATGCAGCAGGGGCAGCCGCTTGGCTGGGGCTGGGGGATGGGCACAGTCTCCACCAGCTCCGCTTGCTGGGAGTCTGAGTTTGCTTCCTGTGTTTGGGCTTTAGGAATTTTAATACAGGGAACGAGGGCCAAGCACTTTCTCACCAACACGGGGAAGGTAGGCTCTCAGACTACCCCCCAGCGCCATCCCCTGCTCCATCTGCCCTTGGAACAGGGCTTTAGGAAAGTCACTCAATTTCTTTGGGCCTCAGTGTCCTTGTCTGTAGGTGGGTATGACAGTAGTGCCTGCCTCACAGAAGCAGAAGTAGTGAAGAATACCTGGCAGCCAGCGAGCACTAAGGAGAGTGTAGCTGCTCTCAGCAGAGCTGCAGCCGTGTTAGCAGCGGGTGGCAGGGCCAGACCCTGCTCCTACCTCCTGTCACCCCTGCCCCATAGGCTCCGCAGGCAGCAGCAGAATGCCCCCCTCTTCGGGAAGATCCGCACTGCCCGCTTTGGCACCGAGGAGGCTGGAGATGGAGCCAGCGACCTGGACGAGGATGAGGACCTGCAAATCCAGGTGGCCTAGGGCCTCCCAGGGCGCACAAGACGGCCTGAAGCTCCCAGCCCCCAGACTGATGGAGCCAGCTGTGCTCGCTGTGGGTCCACTTTCTTCTCTCCCAAGAGGGCATGGGGGGCCCCGTTCCACCCCAGTGCTCCTGTGGAAGGGAACCCTGTTTTATATATGTATGTGCCCAGGGCTCCTTGGACCCTTTTGGTTTTATAAACAAAGGACTGCTCAAGGCCCAGTCCAGGGGATGCCACCCCTGCAGACTTCGTGCAGAGTGGGCCAGGTTTGGGGGGCAGGGGGAGCTTACAGGGCCCCAACCCAGGGCCCCTTGCCACGCCTTAGTGATCTGGCAGGACCTGTTCATAATACAATGTGATGAAGCCAGGCTTTTGTAATAAATGGAGTTCAAGTTCTTAAGCAGAGTCCGGAGAGCATAGATGTGGAGGGGAAAGGAGGGGGTCAGCATCAGCATCACTGGACCTGAATGAATGAGTGAATGAATGAATGAATGAGAAGAGGAATACATGAATGAGCATCTGAACTGCTGGGGCATCTGGTGTCCAGCTCTGGTATCCAGCTGTGAGGGGCAGGGAGAGGTATGGTACCCATCTAATCTGGAGAAGATGAGACTTGAGTTCTAGCCCCTGAGGATTCAAACCTCTGCTCTGCCCCTTACTGGCTGTGTAGCCTCAAGGAAATTGCTTGACCTCTCTGAGTCTCAGTTTATCCAGCTGTTGATTAAGGTGTCTTACAGAGGAGTCAGAAAAGTTAGAGCTGTTCATCCAGAGCTCAGTGAAGGTGAGCGAATGTCAAGAGTACCTGGAGGTCCTGGTCAGGAGCGATAGCCTGGTGGGCTCGGGAGATGGGGCGCTCGCCCAGAGGCAGATGTGGCGGCTGGGAATGAGACCTTTCCTCAGCCTTGCTTGGGTAATGGAACTCTAGGAACGTTTATTTTTGTTAATTTCTAATGTACCTATAATCAGATTTATATCAAATGGATGGAAATGGTTATTAGAAACAGCCAACCCAGCCAGGCATGGTTGCATACTCCTATAATCCTAGCACTTGGGAGACTGAGGCGGGAGGATTGCTTGTTGAGTTCAAGGCTAGTCTCAACTGCATAGCAAGACCCTGTCTCAAAAAAGACAAAAACAAAAAAGAAAAGAAAAGAAACATGCAGCCCAACCATGGTGGTGCACACTTGTAATCCCAGTTACTCTGGAGGCTGAGGCAAGAGAATCACAACTCCAAGTCCAACCTGGGTGACCTAGCAAAATCCTGTCTCAAAATTTTCAAAAGAACTGGTAATATCACTCAGTGGCCAAGTGCCTAGCATGCGTGAGGACTATCCCAAAGTCCAGGCCACGTTCTCCAGGAGCCATAAACTCCCCACATCCCCAGCACCTCCAGTGGGAAGGGCGGGGCCGCCCACATGGGTTCAATCCCTAGTACACCACACGCACAAAAAAAAACAGCACACACTTTTTAATTTTTCCACGTCAAAGTAACATTCAGGGCGTCTGCCCTAATGAGGCACTTAAGATGCACTCTGACACCAGGGCCTGCTTCCTGCAGAAGGCTTTCTCAGGCAGGCGCTGTAGTGAGCAGAAGGTAGTGAGTTCCCCATGTGCAGGAGTGTGCTAAGAGAGCTGGGGCTTCAGCCTGGTGCTGAAGCGCAGTTAATTGCTCTTTAAAAAAGAAAAAACGCAGGGCAACCCACTCAGGCCCCCTTCTGTCTCAGGCAGAAGCTTTCTTTCCCTCAGTAAACATATTCTGCTCTTAAAAAAAAAAAAATTAAATACAGTTGGTACAGGGCCTCCCTGCTGGAAGTACTAAGTGCTGTTCTCTGGGTGTGGCTGAGTCATGAAGATCCCCTGAGGCCACAGTACAGGGACACCAAGGGCCCTGGGGCTGAGAGAAGGGGACAGACTATGCGCAGGAGCCCAGCTGGGAGCCAGTAAGGAGCCCTGAGCGTGTTCTTGTTGCTAAGCCTTCCTGACGATGCTAATGGGGTAAGCCTCGCTGCTATGGCAAAGGCCCCAGGTCCCCTCTCCCAGGCTCCCAGGGCAAAGGAGCCAGCCGTGGGGAATTCCCGTAGGTGGCTCTTTCCCCAGCAGCCAGACTTTAGAGAAGGCAGCATTTCCCGCCAGGGGTCTTTCTGTTTTCTCTCTTAAACAGGAAGTTGGCCTGGGAAAAGGCCGAAAGTGCTGCCCTTTGACCCTGAGGAAGGAGGAGGCAGGCCCTCGCTGACAACATCCCTTAGAGTCACCTCCAGGGGACCTGCCACTCCCAGACACAGAGCAGACCCCGTCCTGGCTCCCCTAGACTCCCTGGCACCTCCGGTGAGATAGCCTTGAGCAGGGGCCTCATTACAGCCCCTATCTCCTGGCAGAGCTGCATCTGAGAGCCTCATCCAGGACAGGAGCTGGCCTTCCACCTCCCCTTGCCGGGGAAACAGACATCAGCGGGGGAGGAGGGGCGGGGTGGGACACAGCTGCAGAGGGGCTTGGTGATTCCCAGCCTGGAATGTGACTGCTTCTCTGCTCACAGCCCTCTGTGGCTCCCCTTCACATGCAGTGAAAGTCACCAAAGTCACCCAGTGGTCGTGGCCGTAGCATCTGCCAACAGAAGCATTAGTCTTGGCCCACATGATGCTTTTAAAAAATCTTTAATGTGTCACTAATATTAGTAATGGGAAGTTTTCACATCAAAATGTGGGTTTCCCTCTCCTGAAACATCAGCAGTGCTGACCACATGGGGCTCGGGCTTCCACGTGGCCACAGCTGCCGCGCCGGGAGCCATGGGTCCTTGGGACATGGCACAGACACTGAGCACCGTGGGCCCCACCAGTCCCTACAGTGTTCTCTGCACCCAAATCTCTGCCCCACCCTGGAACATTTGAGGGCATTTCCAGTTCCCCTGGCGGGGAGGTGACGGAAGGAAGCGCTGAGCCCAGGTCAGTGTGAGGTGAGGCCAGGCCAAGCACACAAGTCACTCATGCGCTCAGACCTCCCATGGTCTCCCGTCACTGCAGGGTGACTGCCAAGGGCATATTTACTGAGACACGGTGGGTGTCACATGTGTGGTCTCTGTCCCACCAATCATTCCCCATATAGGGGCCACCATCATTATGCTATCCTATGCTCCATCCAGAGGCTCAGGAGAGGCAAGTAGCTACCCCAGGGGCACATAGCTGATTAGTTGTGCAGCTGGGATCCCAAGTCACGCAGTCTGAGTCCAGAGCCCACCCTCGCTGCCCCTCCAAGGCCAAGCCCCCGTGTCCCCTACTGGGGCAGCCACCATCACTCCATTCCTGCACATACCGTGCAGCCCCAGCCAGGCCCACTCCTTACTGCCTTCAGAACTGTCCTTGCCCCATCTGAGTCCCTGAAAACTGTGGCCTGCTCTTTTCATTCTCAGGGCTCCATGGGTTGTTTATGTCTCCTCCTGACACACCAGCTGCTCTTGGTGGGCAGAATCCCAGCAGCCAGAATCCCAGCTTGGGCCTAGTGGACATCTTTAAGTGTAGGGAGGAAGAAGGGAAGAAGAGAAGAGGGAAGGAACTGCAGTGGGTGGTGTGATGGAGGAAAGATGGGTGGATGGCAGAAGGATGGGTAGATGGAGGAAGGATGGATGGATGGATGGATGGATGGATGGATGGATGGAGGAAGGAAGGATGGAGGGAGGGAGGGAGGATGAGAGGTGGGATGGTGAAGGCTGAAGCCAGAACCCAGCCCTACTGTGCCATCTGCACACAACCCCGGATGGGTCTTCTGCTGATCAGCAAAGGTCCCCACGTGGAAGAAGGACTCATCTCAGGTACCAGATGCCACAGCAGCCAGACAGCTGTGCCAGCGCCTCTCCTTCTGCGCCTGGAGTACCTAGACAGGCTGCAGAACCAGAAGAACTAGCCACTGCCCTACCCACCTGGCCCCTCCTCTCCCTGCAGCTGAGGCCTGGGGTTGGAGTGGGGGCCTGGAGCCTGTCCTTGCTCTGCACCCAAGGTCCTTTCACCCAGCCTGACTCTCCATGCCACCCCACACCCCACCATGCCCAGGCGTGAGCCATCCACACTGCAGCCCCTCTGACTTCTGCCCCAGCCTGCTTCTCCATTGGCTGTGTGTGTTTTGTAAACTCCTGCCCCTTTCTTGGTTTTATTTCCCTCTGTAAAATGGGAGCCACAGCAAATGGGTTAACTAAACCCACATCCAATTAACAGGACTTCATTGTTCATATTATCTTCCTGCCTTTCCCTGTTGCTCTGCACTCCCCGCACCCCAGGTCCCCAGTCCTTGTCTTCCTGGGGGACCTCCAGCCACTCTTACCAGCCTTTCCGGGAAAGCAGATTGGGGCTGGAGGCTGAGCAGCACCCAGGAGCCAGCTGCAGCTCTCAGCCTGCCAGCCCCCACCCAGCTCCTCCACCGACTTTATCTACTAATTGCAGGTTGCAAGATGCCAGCTGCCTCCCGGGCCCCAGGCAGGGGCCGCCTATGGGGCGGGGGCTCCCTGGAAGGCCCCCCAGCCCTTCTCCAGCCTGAAGCTCCCGCTGTGCTGGGTTGGTCTCCATGGTGCTCAGTCTCCCCGCCCCGAAGAGGTTCCACTGCAAAGCCCTCCTCAGCTTCCTTTCCCAGGTTCCTATTCCCCCACCTAGAACTCCAGGGCTGTCCACGCAGCTCTCACCCCCGAGCAAACTCTCCAAGCGTTCCAGACCCTGCTGCCCCAGGACAGGGCACAGTCCAGGCAGACCCCTTGCAATGGCCCTCTGCCCCCGCTGCTGGCTTCCCCAGCACCATCCCTGCACCGGCCCCTGAGTGCCAGTGACCAGGTCAGACTGGAAGCCAGACAGCTCCACAGGGACCTGGGGATGCACCTGCTGCCCACAGCTGGACTCTGAGCTCCGAGGACAGGGACCTGTCTGTGGGAATCCCTGAGGGAAACGGGGGTGCCCATATCAGGCTCAGCCTCCCCTTCTGTTGTACTTTTAACTAATCTTCACAACTGCCTGGGAGATGCACGATGGCAATGAGGAAACTGAGACCCAGGGAAGGGATAGTTAATGAGTGACCAGATCAGGCTTCAGATCCAGGTGACCCAAAGGCTGGGCATCCTTAGCTGCAGCCCCCAGCCCAGGTCTGAGCCTGGTTGGAGGAGGAGATGTGAACACTAGTGAGAGAGACTCGGAGTGGGGCAGGAAGCGTGAGCTAATACAGCGCCTTGGCCGTCAGCAAGCCCTCTGCCTCAGAGCACCCGTAAAGCTTTCTCCTCCCAAGCCTCCCTCCGTCCTCTGACTTGGGCGGGGGCAGTTGGGGACCTTATTCTCTAGATGAGGAAACAGGCCCGGCAAGCCGAGTGGCTTATCCCAGGGAACCCAGCCACTGTGTCCTGGGTGTCTCTAGATCCTTTCAGTAGGATTGTAA